AATTATCTAATAAATTGAAAGGCGTTAACATTGACTTATATCACACACAAACAATTGTTTAATAAATTGAAAGGTATTAACATTGATTTATATCACACACAAACAATTATTTGATAAATTGAAAGGTGTTAACATTGATTTATATCACACACAAACAATTGTTTAATAACTTGAAAGGTGTTAACATTGATTTATATCACACACAAACAATTGTTTAATAAATTGAAAGGTGTTAACATTGATTTATATCACACACAAACAATTGTTTAATAAATTGAAAGGTATTAACATTGATTTATATCACACACAAACAATTATTTAATAAATTGAAAGGTGTTAACATTGATTTATATCACACACAAACAATTATTTAATAAAGCTACAACACATCAATGGGGGATACAGCAAAATAAAGTTAGCATTCCAATCCCCAAAATGATGTTTGGACATAAATATCAAGATGTTAAAGTATTAATGTACTAAATCCAACCCAAATCATTAGTATAACTCCCATCCACAACTCCTTTTTCTATCTTTTGTTGTTGTTTTTCTATCTCTCGCCATAAAATTACATTTAATTACACATACACACATTTCCCTGATGAGGTAATCTTTAACTTTAAGACATAAATAAATTTTAAGCGATATGTAAAATAAAGAAGTAATACCTAGAGATTTACATAAAAACTTGAAACAAAGATTACGTGATAAAGTTTTAGCTATTTTTACAGGAACTTAAAAACAGTTTGTATTTAGCTAAATAATAACGAATCATTTATGAGCATTATAACAATACAAGTGACAGGAGTAGCTTTACCGTCTTTTCACGAATATAATGAAAATCAAAAAGAGAATTGAGGAAAAACAAGACAATTGTACGTTTCACAAATACATCATTTATCAGGATCATGGAATCAATTATATAAAATCAAAAACACTTAAGTTGAGAAACTTAACTCAATTAAAAAGGGTTAAAGTATATAATTATAAAGAGATGGTATTTTATTCTTAAGTAAAATAAATCATAAATATAATCAAAGATGTTTTAAAGGTCGAAACTAAATTTAAGAACCTAGAGTAATATTCTACGAAAACAAGAGAAAATAATTATCAGGTTTCTAATTTTGTTATTTATTTTAATCCTGATCCCTTGTGAAATTTATAATAATAAACAAACATACTTAAGACTAGAAAATCTATAATTAAATAAAAAACTCATTTCGTTAAACTCCAAATGTGAACTAACAGATGAAATATTGTTTCTTTGTTTTTTTCTTCAGGCTTGTGCAGCAATACGAACGGCACTTCTGACCATGCTTGGCTTCAACTGATACTATTAAATATTGTATTATCAGTCTTACCAAAGCTGATATAATGACTCCGTGATCACTGTTCATTCAAACCTTTAACACATGGAGTTGAATGTAGATATGAAGGACATGTTATAAAAATTACACGAACTTCAAAAATTATGTCTCGCTGTTCGTGAAAATGTCTGTTTCAAAAAATAGTGTTCAAAGAACATTTAAAACCGTCTGTGAAAAATGTGAAATATGAAGAAAAGGACCAGTGAAAGTAGACAAAGATCTGTGTGATAAAGTTTACAAATAGAACATTGAATAGATAAGTCAAATGTTTAAATTTTCCACGCTGTTTCTGGACATCTCAGGCTTGACTAAGTTAAGCGAAAATATTGCAAGTACGATCTAAGAATTGAACGTTCGTATAATATTTGACTATTGACGTTGTTGGGAGATAATTTAAGTCACGTGGTTAAGCTTAAAGCTTTGGGCTTTGTTATTTATTTTAAAAAAATTGAAAAGTACTCCTTACTTCACAAATGGGAATTCGGAATGTTTAGGCAGTTTCTTGGTTATTTTTTCTATGTGATGTGCTTAAAGCAACTTACATTAAAAATACCGAAATGTTAGAGTTTTTACGTACATTTAACCCCCGCTTCTATGATATACTTAATCGCTTGAAACTACCGGTGCCTTTAAATCGTTATTTCTCAAATTTCAGAGCGAATGCTTTCTGGTTTTATTTTAGATGTATAATTATAGTCGTGCATGTAGAAAGTCCGTTTCCTGAATATGACAAATAAAAGAAATATTTTATTGATCTCAGTTTTTATTACTTATCTATTAAATAAGTCAACAAAACTCTTTCATCCTACAGAAAGAGAGTAAATTAACTTTTGCCGCAAGAATTCCTGGAAAGAAAAACGAGTATTTACTTTAAAACAATTTTCATAGTTTTGAAGGTGATCAAGAACTTGTGATGTAATAACGTTTTTTTATTACAACGCAAAAACCCGGGGTTCAATTCCCCGAGGTTGAACGGTTTGTTTGTTTGAAGTTAAGCACAAATCTACCCAATGGGCTATCTGTGCTCTGCCTACCACGTGTATTGAAACCCGGTTTCTAGCGTTTTAAGTCCGCAGACATACCGCTGTGCCACTGGGGGCCGGTTGAACCGCAGGTAGCCCATAGTGGAGCTTTGCGCTAAAACAAACAAACAAAACAAACTCTGATCGGCATGGCCAAGTGGATAAGGCGCTCGACTCGCAATCTGTAGGTCGAATCCCCGTCACACCAATCATGCTCGCCCTTTCAGCCGTGGGGGCGTTATAATGTGACGGTCAATCCCACTATTCGTTGGTAAAAGAGTAGCCCAGGAGTTGGCGGTGGGTGGTGATGACTAG